TGGAACACCCACCTGGATCTTGTGGGGAACAGGATGACAATTGTTACAAGCCAATGATAATGCAGTACAGTAGGTGACACTCCCACACAGTACACACAATCCCTCCCCTCTGAATGGGAGATAGTCCTGTATGTAACTCAATTATCTCCAGGCAGAAAAACACACATTTTTATAAAGTAGGAAAAGTACCCCAACACACAACATATCCCCATAAGGAATCCCCAGAGAATTATTCTGTGCAACCGGTCTATTTCAAACAGTCGAAATACCGTTCGAATTACCATACTTACCGGTTGATGAACATAGTCAATGTGTGTCCCTTGTTCGTGGGCTTCTCCCCACTGAACGCTGTTGGACTCCTGTTCGAATAGCCGAAGTTCCATAGAAGGAAACTGTTCAGCGGTGTTCGTGCCGTCGCGTGTCCGATTTGAGTTCCATGAACTCAACGACAAAACACAGCTGAACCCTTTCGACTAAGATGGCCACCGCCACGTGTTCGACTTTACAAAAGCGACCACCCAGCCATTCGTCAATTTGGCTGCAGATAACTACCAGCCTTGGAGGTAAATAGGCTGCAAACTCCACTTGCGTGTGGTCCGGCTGTTTGGTGGTTCGAAGTGGCACTTTGAACCACTTCGAAAGTTCGAAGAACCGTTGAAGTCCAAATAGGCCAAATAGGGTCTCTCAACCACAATAAATTAAAGGGGCCATAGTTACAGGGTAAAAGGCTGGCAAGTAGTCCCCTCCAAACCCCATTGGCAAAGTGGCTTTCGCCACAACTTTCTTGTTGGAAGGTCCAATGATGCCTTCCTCACCGATGGCATGGCGTTTTATCATAGGATTCCTGATACTTAAGTGAATCCATTTAGCTTTTACATGCTGAAGGTTCTCAGTGCCAGAGGATGCACAGCAGTCCTGAGCATCACCAAGTCACCACCATGCTTACCTGTAGGCAGAGTGCTCTTATCAGTGTATGCTTCATTCTTCTTCCTCCAGACATACCACTGATTCATTGGGCTATAAAATTGCAGTTTTGTTCCATCGCTTCACAGAACAGAATCCCAAAACTTCTGTGGCATTTTTTTATGATTTAAAACATATTGGAGCCACGTTTTCTTGTGCTTTTGGGTCATTAGTGGTGTTGCATCTTTAAATTCTGGGATGGAAAGCTTCTGTGTGTAGTATGTACCTACTGTGCTCATTGAAACCTTTGCTGCAGGTCTTTTGCAATCACTTTTTTTTTTTTTAAACTTGCCTTTTCAGAAATCTGGTTGCAGCCATTAATAGCTTTCTCTTTTGCCCGGTCCAGGTAGTGTACCCACTGTTCATTCATCTATAAACTTGCGAACTATGCTTCCTACAGTGTTTCTAGGAACATTCAGTGGCTTTCTATATTTTGCTTCCTGTTTCTTGTTTGTAAAGGGCGATGATCTCTTCTCTTAACTTTGTGGACCATATTTCTAACATGCAGTGAAACTTGACACATGGAAACATAAAAACATAGAACATAGATGGCAGATAAGAACCATTCGGCCCATCTAGTCTACCTAACAAATGCAACAAACCCATAGTCAGTGTAAAAATATTGGTTCTTCCAAACCACTTTAAGAGAATTTTCATTTTTTCAGGTCTACAGAATTTAGTTCATGTTTCTGTTCATTTATATAATTATTATTGGGGAAAGCCAGTTGAACAGCCAGAACAGCAGGTAAAATTCTGCCTACTACCATGCTAACATACAAAATGGCTACAAAGCTTTTAGAATGATTGTAATATTCTTTTTGCTAACTTGTATTCTAACAAATAGGGAACAGGAGTAATTATGAGTAGTGATGTACCGAACGGTTCGCTGGCGAACGGTTCCTGGCGAACATAGCATGTTCGCGTTCGCCACGGCGGGCGAACATATGCGCGGTTCGACCCGCCCCCTATTCGTCATCATTGAGTAAACTTTGACCCTGTACCTCACAGTCAGCAGACACATTCCAGCCAATTAGCAGCACAGCCTCCCTAGCAGACCCTCCCACCTACTGGACAGCATCCATTTTAGATTCATTCTCAAGCTGCATGCTTAGTAAGAGGAGGGAAAGTGTAGCTGCTGTTCATAAGATAGGGAAAAGCATAGCTAGGTTAGGGATAAGGGTATGCTTTTTTTTTATTTTTTTTTCTATGTAATGTAAATGCACTTAGTTGTCTGCCACTGCTGCCAGCTTCTGTGTCAGGCTCACAGTGCCTGCCCATTTCCCCAGTCAGTGCCACCAATTACATCTGGTGTCACAATAGCTTGGATTTAAAAACAAAAAACTTTTTTCACTGTTATAGATTGAATAGAAGTCAGTTGTCTGCCACTGTTGCCAGCTTCTGTGTCAGGCTCACAGTGCATACTGTGCCCATTTCCCCAGTCAGTGCCACCAATTACATCTGGTGTCACAATAGCTTGGATTTAAAAACAAAAAACTTTTTTTTACTGTTATAGATTGAATAGCAGTCAGTGTCCTTAAAGCGGGTGTGTTACGCTAACAGTGGATACGCTGACAAGTGCCACTAATTAGATCCTGTGTCACAATAGCTTGGATTTAAAAACAAAAAACTTTTTTTACTGTTATAGATTGAATAGCAGTCAGTGTCCTTAAAGCGGGTGTGTTACGCTAACAGTGGATACGCCGACAAGTGCCACTAATTAGATCCTGTGTCACAATAGTTTGGATTTAAAAAAAATAATAATCTTTTTTCACTGTTATAGATTGAATAGCAGTCAGTGTCCTAAAGCGGGTGTGTTACGCTAACAGTGGATACGCTGACAAGTGCCACTAATTAGATCCTGTGTCACAATAGTTTGGATTTAAAAAAAAAATAATCTTTTTTTCACTGTTATAGATTGAATAGCAGTCAGTGTCCTTAAAGCGGGTGTGTTACGCTAACAGTGGATACGCTGACCAGTGCCACTAATTAGATCTGGAGTCACAATAGTTTGGATTTAAAAAAAAAATAATCTGTTTTCACTGTTATAGATTGAATAGCAGTCAGTGTCCTTAAAGCTGGTGTGTTACGCTAACAGTGGATACGCTGACAAGTGCCACTAATTAGATCTGGTGTCACAATAGCTTGGATTTAAAAACAAAAAACTTTTTTTACTGTTATAGATTGAATAGCAGTTAGTTATCTTCAAGCGGGTGTCAGGCCTACAGCCTGTGCTCTGCACAACTGTGCCAGTGCACATTGCCACTCATATCTGGTCTCACAGTAGCTTGCACGCATAGTACCACTAATCCCAACAAAATGACAGGCAGAGGCAGGCCACCCCGCAGGGGCCATCGTGGTCGTGGTGCTGTGATTCCCTTTGGCCCTAGAATAATGCCCAGTTTTCAGAGGCCACGTACCCTGAACTTGAAAAGTTCTGAGGACATAGTTGACTGGCTAACACAGGACACCCAATCTTCTACAGCCTCCGCTCAGAACCTTGACGCACCATCCTCCTCCAGCTTAGCTTCAGGCACCTCTCAAGATACCACTCACCCGCCTGCCGCCACCACCAAAACTAGCACCACCACAGCCGCTTCGGTTGGTATGTCAGAGGAGTTATTCACACATCCGCTTTGAAATAAAATGTGATATTAAACCATTATTGCTAAGGTAGAGGAGGTAGATAACAGGTGGGATATGTCTCCCTTTGGTGGCAGGCAGCATTACACACATGGACGCAGGTGATGATGATGATGATGTTGTACCCGCTGCTGCTTCCTTTGCTGAGTTGTCAGATACAAAGCGGAAGCGCCGATGCATTTTGACCTATGCG